TGGGTGGTCGCTTGTTTTGTACACCCCTTGGGATGGGCAGGTTGGTCGAAAAAGCCCTCGCCTTCGGGCTGGGTGGCCTCCTGTTTCGAACATTCCTCGGATTGAGTGGGCAAGTGCCTGAAGAAAAAATCCACCATGACTAAGGCCTCCGGGCTGGGTGGTCACATGTAACGACCACTCCTTCGAGGGTGGGCATGTGTTCGAAGACCAAAATCCACCATGACTAAAGCCTCCAGGCTGGGTGGTCACATGTAAGGACCACTCCTTCGAGGGTGGGCATGTGTTCGAAGACCAAAATCCACCATGACTAAGGCCTCCGGGCTGGGTGGTCACATGTAACACCACTCCTTCGAGGGTGGGCATGTGTTCGAAGACCAAAATCCACCATGACTAAGGCCTCCGGGCTGGGCGGTCACATGTAACGACCACTCCTTCGAGGGTGAGCATGTGTTCGAAGACCAAAATCCACCATGAATAAGGCCTTCGGGCTGGGTGGTCGATCCTAGCGTTGGGTCGGTGAAGACATGGATCTTATTGGAGACCTCGGTGGCAGGTTGATCTTTGCTTGATTCTGGTTTTGTCGAATTTATTTTTCGACTTCAAGAGAAGGTAGATGGAGTTCATTACAGATAGCTCGTGCAACGGCAGGTCGATGGTATTAATTATTGTTCGAGCAGGTTGATGGTTTTTGATCGGTTTGGCCTTGTCAAAATTATCTTTCGACCTCGGTAGCAGGTTGAGGGTATTCATTATTGATCGAGCAGGTTGATTGCTTTTTATTTGATTATGATTTTGTCTAATTTATTTTTCGACCTCGGTGGCAGGTCGAGGGAGTTCACTCGGAGCAGTTCACGGAGTCAAGTTATCCAGGTTGATAATTTTATTTGGTTTTGTCGAAATTAGGCTTTCGACTTCGGTGTGGTGTCAGGACATTCGGTTTTCGAAAGGATAAACAGCAGGGTAGAATTTCAAATTTTGAACTGAGGGGGCGATGATAGGACGATGTGGTAGGAAAGGTTTATCTTTGAATGAAGAGAGCTCGAACATGGTGATCGAAAAACAACAAGACGTAAGTTTAAATTTTTAGATTCAAGACTTCGGTTTTCTGTTTTCGACCTCATCGACGGTCACTCGGTTCCCGGTTTTCGACCTCAGTGGTCGATCAACTTTTGGTGTTCGACCCCAGTGGCGGGTCTCTCAATTTTTGACCTCAGTGGCCGATCAACTTTCGGTGTTCGACCCCAGTGGCGGGTCTCTCGATTTACGACCTCAGTGGTCGAACAACTTTCGGTGTTCGACCCCAGTGGCGGGTCTCTCGATTTACGACCTCAGTGGTCGATCAACTTTCGGTATTCGACCCCAGTGGCGGGTCTCTTGATTTTCGACCTCAGTGGTCGATCAACTTTCGGTGTTCGACCCCAGTGGCGGGTCTCTCGATTTACGACCTCAGTGGTCGATCAACTTTCGGTATTCGACCCCAGTGGCGGGTCTCTTGATTTTCGACCTCAGTGGTCGATCAACTTTCGGTGTTCGACCCCAGTGGCGGGTCTCTCGATTTACGACCTCAGTGGTCGATCAACTTTCGGTATTCGACCCCAGTGGCGGGTCTCTTGATTTTCGACCTCAGTGGTCGATCAACTTTCGGTGTTCGACCCCAGTGGCGGGTCTCTCGATTTACGACCTCAGAGGGGGGGGGGGACTAGATGATATAGGATATTATATACTAGAGCAGTCCTAATGGATAAGAGGAGAATATATTGAAGAATATGCCTACACATGGCTAGGACACGTGGCACGATGCTATGGGACAAGCCCAACTTGGGCCATAAGGTACACTCCCCCTATAAAAGGGGACTAAGGTATCCCATTCTCTCATTCTCTCGACACTGATAATTATACTCTTGGGATTTGGAGTAGTACTGACTTGAGCGTCAGAGGCCCGACGCCGGGACCTCTCCCGGCGTTGGATTCTTGCAGGTCCGGTGGCCGTCCGAGTTGAAGGAGCCCGAGTGAAATCTTATTCACTTCAAGATTGGTACTTTAACTTTTGATCTTGTGTTTTGCTGGGATTGGTCAGATACTTTTTATTGTTTAGTGGGTGTTTTGTTGGATTGGTAATTATGTTATTATAATATTTTTTTAGCTTATTTGTTCATTTAAAATTATGAAGTTTAGTGTTGGGAAGTAAATTGTTTGTACTTTTTGTTTTCTGAGGTAGATTGTTTAATTTTTATTTTATTTTATTTTTTGTCATTAGTCATGTTAATCGTTCTATAGAATTTAGTGCTGTCAGTTTCATGTTTGTTAAACCGTTTTTAACTATGTTTTTTTTTTGTGGTCAAATTTCATACATTAAAAATTGTATACGACTTTTTGTTAAAAGTTGAGTTTCATTTTTTAGGCATATGTCGCGTTGATTATGCGTAATTTGTAACATTAGTAAATTTTTATTGTGGGTTAATCATCAAGATTAAATGTTATTTTATTATATTTATCTACATTTACGTTTATATTATTGTTATTTTTGTCATTTTTTTATGCCATAAGATATATATATATATACATATATATATATATATATCTGTACAATATACACAATCTGTATAATATATTTGTATATTATACATAGGAAACAATTCTAAATAATACATAAACAAATACTCCATCAACAAAAGCCAAACCCGCCTCTCCCATGAAATGTCTCACTTGGAATGAGATGCAAAAGAGAGTGTGACAGCTTCCGTTTATTCTTGAGTGGAAGTGGGCGTTCACGAGTTTCCAAGCCCCTACTTTCTGTAGAAAATCAACCTTTGGAGTGGTGGATAGGCAGAGGTCAATTACATCGAGCCATAAGCAACTCAAAAAACGAATTCTTTCTGTTTATCATATAAAAAAACGAAACCAATGAGAATAGAATACTCTGTATAATATACACAATCTATATAATATATTTGTATATTATACATAGGAAACAATTCTAAATAATACATAAACAAAATTAAATACCACATAAACATAAGATTTTTTTTTTTTCTTTCTCATACATATTACTTAAATTTGAGGGAAAAAAAATGTTCAGTGTTTGACTCATTATTCATAAGTCAGTTTGATATGTTCTCTTTTTTTTTTTGTTTTTGTCTTTTTTTTTCTGCTTGAACTACTGCATCTTTTCTCCCAACTAGATAAGAACCTCTTCTTTCTTTACCTTTCAGTACGTGACACCTGAGGTGGTGGTTTGAGGGTTGCATCTTGATTGGTTTGATGTGTCATTGTAGCTGCATAGTCAACTGGGTATACTACTTCTGAATATGTTACCAACATGGTCTATGTATAGAAATACTTTGAACAATTTGGCTTGGGATCTTCGTGGTTTCCTCGTATGGCACATAATGCATGTGCGCATGGGAGTTCATCCATTTGGAATCGATTGCAAGAACAACTCTTATTTTTCATATAAAAAACAAACACCTTTGTACCATTTGATACTCGGTATATAGTGTCACTTGCCTTTTGCACCTGCATTTTGTTAATACAAATAATTTTATGTATATATTGTTATTTAAATGATGCTAGTTGAATAGTGTACTTACTGTTAGATTCATGGATGCTTTGTAATTTTCTATCAACATGTTGTTCCCCAGCTTTGCAAGTTTTGTAAATGTCCCTTCTGCATCTTCCCTGTTTTTAACATTCTATTTTTGCTGCATCCCTCTTAAACTCTCAAGTAGCAAAGTTATTGGCATCTCTCTTGCAACCTTCATGGTAGAGTTTATTGATTCAGCAGCATTTGATGTCATGGTTAAAAAATGGTTTCCTTTGCAATGTACTCGCGACCACCTTTCAAAGCCAACATCTATTTCTAAATATTTATTTACACGACTATCCGCATTCCTCATTGCAGTCATGCGCTTCTCAATTCATCATGTGTATATGATCGAGCTGCAGCCATGAATGCCTGTTTTACGGCCTCTGTGTTTTTTTTGAATTTCGTAATAATGTTTTTCGACAAGTGGTAGATGTAGTTGCAATGTGTTGCCTCTGTAAGGACCTGCATAAATTTTTTCACTAGGTCAAATTTTATATCTTAATTTTTAAAATTTATATAACAGAATATAAAAAAGATTATTATTTTTTTCTCTCTTTTTGCACAACTAGTATTTATAATGCATTTACTCTGCTTTTTTAAACTACAGACTAAAATTTTCAACGCCTACAATCGATTTTTTTTCATCGCCCATGTATTTTTCCATCTTCCCTCTTTCATCTCTAATTATCGCCCATGTATTTTTCTTCTGCCCTCTTTCTTATCTAATTTTCAGAAGCATTTTTAGAAAAAGATAATAAATCACTGGCTTTTACAGTGTCAGGGACAAAGGTAACCTTCGATTTCTTGCTCTTTTTTTTTTTGTGGGTTCACAAGTTTTAAGGTAGTTTATAAATATTTAANTTTTAATGTAAAGACTCCAGCTTTATTGTGGGCAGGCCAAATTTGTATGTTTCTATGCGTTTGATTTGTTAATGTTATATTTAAGAACCTTAGATGTGGGCTTGTTGATTAGCTTTATGAGAAGATAACAGTGTAATCAGCAGTAGATTAGAATAAAATTGTTATCTTTGTCTGTACAATTACAAAATTATGCAAATTATGTCACTGTGAAATATGGGAAATTGATGATTTTAAGACTTTATTTTTTCTGGTTTAAGATGCATATTTTTTATGTATTCCCTTTTTCTTTTCTTCGTTTTTTACATATTATCCTTGAAGGTTGCTTGTGAAGTTTAAGATACATATTTTCTTGGTTTAAGATACATATTTTTTGTGAAGGTTGCTTGATATTGGCTATTGATGTTTTTTGAGATAGTGTTAGCTCTATATGTTCTTACATTTTCATTTTCTTCTATTCCAGTTTTAATTTCTATTGCTAAAAAACCCTCTGTTTATAGCTTCATTATGAGTAATATCAAGCTAGTAATTTTTTAATTTATACATTTTTTATTTATTATTTTCTTTCATAAAATATATAAAAAAATGCATAATTTCAGTATGTCTTGTTTACCTTTTCGATGGCGTGCTTTATTGAGGCATGCATGTCTGATATTATACATAATCCTTCCCGTACCGACAGAGTTGTTTCCAGGTGGCTGCAAAACCATTCATATGCTTTGTTGTTTTCGGAATCAACAACACCGTATGCTAGGGGTAGTATGTGGCTTGATGCGTCCTTTGTGTACTTGCTGTTATAAGAGTCCCTCCATAAGCAGACTTTAGGAAAGTTCCATCAACAATAATTATTGGTTGGCAATGTTCCTGTTCACAAAATATTTTCACAACCGCAAGTGTACGGTGTAGCTATAGTAAGCGGCGAGCAAGGTCGTATTCCACAGAGATTGTTGTTAAAATAATTAAGTATCAAAATGTAGACGATTAAATATTATTTAGACTAATGCAAATTTGAATGGAGATTTAATTCTAAACTAATGAATGAGTGCAAAATAAATTCTAACACCAATGAAGGCTCTTTCGAAGATAAATCAAGAATGAGAAATAGATTCTAGGCTAAGTTTTCCTCAGGATTATTCTAGCAAAGATTTCTTATCATTCAAACCTTATTTAATTCTACCAATCGTAGGGATAATCGTTAAATTGATTTACACCTTTGTCTCCAACAAGTTAAATCGTAGATATTAGTTGTTATCTATCTCCTCTCGGTCTCAAGATGAATTACTAACTCCCATAAGTTCCTAAGATTCTAGTTTCCTCGCAAGATTCTATCAACCTCTCTGTCTGTTTAGTCTCTTACGTTATGAATTTTCCAATTCTAGCAATCAACTATCTCCTCTCGGTCTCAAGTAAATCACAAATATGCACAAATACGGGCCCTATATTCACACAATCAATATAAGTACAAGAAATTGATAAATGAATGATAGACTAGAATGAATAAATAAAATCACTTCATAAAATAATCCGAGTACTCACAAATCCTAGAATCTCAAAAAGGTTTAGCTACTAAACATATTATCAAAACTCAAAATAAATAAATCCATGAGTTCAATGAAGAAGAAAAAGAGAAAAGAAAGAAGAACTATTGCCGCCGTTAGTTCCCGAATCTTCAATCTTGACTTTCTTGAATCCCTTTTGTGTTTCGTGCTTTCTCTAGACCTCCAAAGGTGTCAAAAGTCCCAAAACCGAGTTCTCCAAGTCTCTTTTATAGTGTAGGACAATTATATATCGAAAAAGGGAAGAAATCGTGTTAGAATCCTAGTCCCCGCTGGTTTAGTCTACGCGTCACACGACTCGTGTCACTGACTCACACGAGTCGTGTGACTCACACGACCGGTCTCACGACCCGTGTGTGTCCACACGACCCGTGTCACCTGGCCACACGGCCCGTCTGAGGTCACACGACCCGTGTCACTCTCCACACGACTCGTGTGTAAATGTCTAAACGTTTCTTTTTCTTCATCCACACGACTCGTGTCACTATCCCACATGAGTCGTGTGCCTCAACTGCATCTGGTTTTCGTCGTTTTTCATTCTGACTCCATTTTTAACGCTTTTTTGGGTTTATTTCTTGCAAAACTAATGACAAAAAGTACTTCTATCATAGATTAATAAAAAAAAATAATGGTGCACAATCGAAAGATAAACACGGCCAAATATCATATTATATCATTCATAATGCATGTAAATATGACGAATGTCAACTCCCCCAAACCTAATCCCTTGTTCGTCCCCGAACAAGAATAATAAAATCAAAACTTAAGCATAATGAGTGATATCAAACTAAAAAAGCTTCAAGTTTTTCAATGCAACCAAGAAAATTCAAACGATCGTAATTATCATGCTTGGACTAGTATCTTGTATATCTACCTTGAATCAACGAACCCTCAAATAGGAAAAATATCAGTGTCTCACTCACATGCCATCAATATATATAAGAGAAGGATACGCTCAAGTCAAATTAAACACCCGGTTAACTATGTGTTTGCCAATCATCTAAAAAAACTACTTCAAACGTAATTAATAATCATAAGCTTTAAATCAAAAGGTCTTTTCGGCTTGTAACGTAGGCTATCTGGCCAAGTGTAAGAGATACATATGGGTTAAGTGGCTCATATAAACGATCATACTATTTGAGTAAATAGACGACTCGACTGCTCCACTACTCCTCCCTAATCAACATAAGGCGTTTCTTATCATCAAACCAAAATAATCTATACACAACTCATAAATTCTCAAATCAAATTACAACTGAAGTACTTGACCGTTTATTTTTCTTTTACTTTTTTTTGTTTTTTTTTTATTTTATTTTATTTGGAGAGTTCAATTTTTCCAAACAAGATCAAACCGTAAAGACAACATTCTCTAGGTATAAACATTGGAGGTCATCCAAGTGTCCTAGAGTGGTTTTCCATTACTCATTACCCGTCAAAATAAATCAACTTGCAAGAGGAGTAGAATCCCGACGATTCGACTTGCAAGCTCCTTTTATTATTATTTTTTTTCTTTCCGGTCAAACATTCCATATCCAATCATCCAATAACTAATCCATCATCACCATACATCACATAATTTCATCAACTCCAAATAATATATCATATAATCCAGTTGACAAGAAAAAGGCTCAAGGTTCAAATGGACTATTATTGAAAAATATATTTAAGGACAAAGAAACAAGGTCAAACGAGCTAAGTCAAAAACCGCCTAAATCATTTTTAAAGCTTATAATCATTAATGCATTTTTTCAAGTAAGAATCAAGGCAAATTCTAATAACTTGGGTACCCAATTGACATACACAGACAAGGAATAAAGGCTCAAGTCTCACAAGACTCAATATATCGCTAATTCAAGGCTCACAAGTATTTTGATCTAAGTAGGACTTTTACAATCCCATCACAATTCCTCAATCACATCAAATCACCATTCACCATTCAAGTTTTATCCACTATTCAACCAAAACAAAACAAAAACACAAGGAACCAACTCGAGCAAATTATTACTATATCCTAATAAAGCAAGTAAACATGCATCCTAAAAATAAAAATAGCCTAAAATAAAATAAAAAAAAAATCATAAAAGTCAAAACTAATGGAAATAAGTATATGATATGCAATAAAGCCATAAAAACTCAAGATATACGACATCTCTCTCCCCCAAACTTATTCTTTGGAAAAGAATTAAGTTTAAGAAAAATAAATGGTATATCTCAAACAACTAACCGAATAGTCGAACGAACTCCATGTAAGCTATTCTTGCACCCTTTAGCACGATCATCTTCTCCATGCTTCGCGCGAACACTCGATCACCACCATTTTTTTTTCACCTTTTTTTTCTTTTTTTTTCCAAATTTTTTTTAAAAAATAAAATAAATATAAAACGAAAATAAAATAAAATAAAATAAAAATTAAAGCGGTAAAAGATGGGTTGCCTCCCACCAAACACTTAATTTAACGTCTTTAGCTAGACGTCTTCCGAGCTCTTAAAATGGGTCGTTTCCATTCATTCCGACCAACTCCTTCATATTCCGACCTCGGTGCACCTCATCTTTCATTTTCTTTTTTTTCGGCCCTCGATCAATGACAAACGTATAACACTCATCAAATGCCTGGAACGTGAGCTCTTCGCGCTCAATGTCTATCAATACTTGTCCGGTAGCAAGAAATGGTCGCCCCAAAATTAGCAGAACATTATCGACTTCAAGCATGTCGAGCACAACAAAATCCGCCGGATATATAAAATCGCCGACTTTAACCATGATATCCACTAAAATCCCTCTCGGATGGAACAATGATCTATCCGCCATTTGTAGTGCAATAGTCGTAGGCCTAAATTTCCCCATCTCCAACTTCAACTTCTCGAACATTGATAAGGGCATCACATTCACACTAGCCCCCATCGAAGGCTCTTTAACTTCATCCCTTTCCTCTTGAATATGGACGACATTGCATTGCTTCTTTGGATTCACCTCGGTATTGCTCGAAAATTGTCCTTTTTTATGTAGACTCCCAATTGCCGTGGCCATCTGCCCCATTTGCTGCTCCATTGACTTTATTTGATTCTCCATCGACTTCATTTGATTCTCCATCGTAGAGAACTTAGCATGAGATTCAACCATGAATTGTTGCGTCTGATTTATAAATGTTTGCGTACTAGTCATGAATGAGGTGAGAACATCTTCAATTGCTGGCTTCTTTGGCTCATTGATGACCCCATTGGTCACTGAAAATCCCGGGGGCGGTTGTAAAGCATTATTCGAGTTGGCGTACAAGAAGATTGGATGATTCCGGTTGCCCGGATAGTATGTGTTTCCCCCTTGAGCTCCTCGAAAATTTCCAAAATTCCAGTTATTCAGACAACTCACATCCTCAATCGGCTCCCCAAATCCTACGCTCTCATTCTTCCCCACTTGCAACTTATTAAGCACCATTACGGTCGCTTGAGCTACCATTGCTGCCACTGAGTCCGTCTCATTTGTAGTTGCCACCTTTTTAAGCATATTTCTCTCGACGGGCCATTGATAGCTATTCGACGCCATCTCTTCAAGAATTGGCTTCGCGTCGACCAGTAGTCTTCCCAAGAGAGCGCCTCCAGCTGAGGCATTCACCATGGCCTTCATCGGGCCACTCAATCCATTGTAGAAGTAGCAAATCTGGTGCTCCTCCGAAAAACCATGTTGTGGGCATGTCCAAAGGAGTTTCATAGCGCTCCTAAGCCTTATATAAAGGCTCGCCATCCTTCAGTCGGAATTGAGTGATCTCCGTTTGAAGTCTCAACATCTTACTCAGTGGGAAGAACTTCAAGAGGAATTTCTGACGCATTTCTTCCCATGATGTCACTGTACACTCCAAGAGAATTTTACCATAGCTTTGCCTTATCTCTAAGAGAGAAAGAGAATAGGCGAAGCCGAATAGCGTCCTACGGGACTCCATTATACTTCATCGTATCGCATATCTTCAGAAATTGTGCCAAATGCGTGTTCGGGTCTTCAGTCGGGCCTCCCCCAAACTGATCCTGTTGTACCATCTGAATCAAAGCCGGGCGTAATTCAAAATCATTGGCCGCAATTCTCGGCCCGTGACCTCCTCTGTATGCTTGGTCCGCATGAGGTTGGAAGATGTTTCGCACCGGTACTCCCGTCTCTTGTTGAGCCTTATGCTCGGCTAGTTGGCGTTGTAGCTCCGCCAATTGCGCTTGAAGAAGCCTATACCTTTTGTCATCTTGATCCTCCATCGCGCCTCTCAGTCGTTGTTGTAGTCTCCGATTTGCGTAGTTCCTATGGCAACTAGCTTCAATCTCGGGATCAAATTTCGCTGGTGAACTCCCACTAGACCTCGTGATCATGGACGTACCTACCAAAAACACACAAACCGAAAAGATCAAATAAATGAATCCAAGAAAAAAAATAATAAAATAATAATGTCTAAACTAATATCTACTCGTCTTATCTCAATATTAATTAATTCAACAAAAAACAATCCCCGACAACGGTGCCAAAAACTTCTTCGCAAAATATTTTCACTACCCGCAAGTGTACAATGTAGATATAGTAAGCGGCGAGCAAGGTCGTATTCCACAGAGATTGTTGTTAAAATAATTAAGTATCAAAATGTAGACGATTAAATATATTTTAGACTAATGTAAATTTGAACGGAGATTTAATTCTAAACTAATGAATCAGTGCAAAATAAATTCTAACACTAATGAAGGCTCGTTCGAAGATAAATCAAGAATGAGAAAATAGATTCTAGGTTAAGTTTTCCTCGGGATTGTTCTAGCATAGATTTCTTATTCATTCAAACCTTATTTAATTCTACCAATCGTAGGGATAATCGCTAAATTAATTTACACCTTTCTCTCGAACAAGTTAAGTCGTAGATATTAATTGTTATCTATCTCCTCTCGGTCTCAAGATGAACAACTAACTCCCATAAGTTCCTAAGATTCTAGTTCCCTCGCAAGATTCTATCAACCTCTCGGTCTGTTTAGTCTCTTACGATATGAATTTCCCAATTCTAGTAATCAACTATCTCCTCTCGGTTTCAAGTCAATCACAAATATGCACAAATACGGGACCTATATTCACACAATCAATATAAGTACAAGAAATTGATAAACGAATGATAGATCGGAATGAATAAATAAAATCACTTCATAAAATAATCCGAGTACTCACAAATCCTATAATCTAAAAAATGCTTACCTACTAAACATATTATCAAAACTCAATATAAATAAATCCATGAGTTCAATGAAGAAGAAAAAGAGAAAAGAAAGAAGAACTATTGTCGCCGTTAGTTCCCGAATCTTCAATCTTGACTTCCTCGAATCCCTTGTATGCTTCGTGCTTTCTCTAGGCCTCCAAAGGTGTCAAAAGTCCCAAAACCGAGTTCTCCAAGTCTCTTTTATAGTGTAGGGCAATTATGAGTCAAAAAAGGAAAGAAATCGCGTCAGAATCCTAGTCCCCGCTGGTTTAGTCTGCGCGTCACACAACTTGTGTCACTGACTCACACGAGTTGTGTGTCTTTTCTTCCATTTTTGCCAAACTCCCAGACTCACACAACCATTCACACGACCCGTGTCACCTTGCCACACAACCCGTGTGATGTAACACGACCTGTGTCACTCTCCACACGACTCGTGTGAAAATGCCGTAACGCAACGTATCTTTTTCCTCATCCACACGACTCGTGTCACTGTCCCACACGAGTCGTGTGCCTCAACTGCACCTGGTTTTTGTCGTTTTTTGTGCCGACTCCATTTTTAACGCTTTTTTGGACATATTTCCTATAAAACTAATGACAAAAAGTACCTCTATCATAGATTAATAAATAAAACATAATGGTGCACAATCGAACGATAAACACGGCCAAATTTCATAATATATCACTCATAATGCATGTAAATATGACGAATGTAATTCCCATCCTTTGATTGATGCTTTAAGTGCAATGAAAACATATTCGAATATGTTGTCTGCTGTTTTTTGCAGCTTTACAATTGACCCCGGGTTGCTCTTGTACAGCTCTTCGAGGTATCCATGTATTAATTGGTAAGATCCATATGGGTTGTCTTGTGCAGATTCTAATGCCTTTCTTCTTGCTTCCCATGCTCTTTTGTACTGTAAATCTAACCCGTACAATTGTTGCATATCCCGAATTACATCGGCTGGTGTATAGTGCGTCTTTAGATTAGCAAACTTTTTTGTGATGCATTCTCCCGCTAAGTTTGCAGTAGTTTGCCGTTTTCCATTCATGCATTTTCCAAGTGCACATGAGTGAATATCATTAATCTGACGTACTTTGAACATTGAAGATTTACCAAATAGATGATACTTTCATAAACCAACGACATGTACCATCAATTCATTTAAGCTCTGCCTTGTCCATACATGTTTGTCCCTTCACAATGAGACACATATTGTTGCTGTTTGCCTCTGATATCTGTGACTTTGAGTTGTTGGACATCATTTTTTGCATTTTTTCCACTGCATAAACTGCCAATGTGGAAGAATAATTTTCTGCAACATCCTCTACACACAATGACTCCTCATTTTCATTGTAACTTCTTGAGTTTGGCATCAATTGAAGTGGCTCTATTATGTTTGTGTATGTTGTTGCAACAATTTTTCTATTCATACTTGGAAGCGCAAGGATTGAGCTCTCTTTTTGCAGATTTACACAAATTGGGTAGCAAGTACATTCGGTTTCTCGTTTTTTTAATTTTTTATAAAAATTGAAACTTCGGTCATCAGTGATGGCTATTGGCGGGTACGTGTCGTTAACTTGGTATTTCGAAATAAATTTGTCGAACGGTGTTTCCAGTTGTATCGTTTCTGCGATGACTTCTAGCAGTTGCTTGAATGTATAATCATCTTCAAGCATAATTCCGTGAACTTCGTAACCTGCATAATTTTTATCACTTTGCCCCTCGCCACTGTAGTTGATGAAAGTCAGAAATGGAGGCATTTTCTCTGCAAATTGTGTGAGTTATATTAATATAATTATACACAATTTACTCAACATATAAACACAAATTATATTTTTTATGAAGTACCTGTTGGCTGCCACAATCTCGATATCTAATTAATCAGATATCAAGTTTCTGATTTTGTCAGTTTCCTCTTTCTCTATGTTTATTGTTNGTGTTTTCGTTTCTGGGAGTATAAGGTTTTCTTTGTGGTTTTTTTGTTTGCTGGGAAAGGTGATTTTTAAAGTTGGTTTTCTTATCTTCTTCAGAATATGTATGAAACATGCTTGATGCACGTCTTTTCGTTTTTTATTTTTTTTCAATTTTTGTTAATTCACGTATTATTATAAACAACCTTTGTCAGAAGTGTGTTCTGCTTGCTTTTTTGTAATAATTTTCTATATAGTGGGTAGTTATATAATTATTCTCATATTTAGTTCATACGATATGCATATTTTGTTAATCCATAGTGCATTTGTTATATTTAATTTGAATATATACATGATACATATTTATTTCATTAATGATGCATATTCAGTTCATACGAAATGTATATTTTAATTTAATTCATCCCTAGTGCATGTTTATTATATTTATATTAATTATATACATGATGCATATTTAGTTCATACCAAGTGTATATTTAGTTCTGATATTATTGGTGCATATTTAGTTTATAAAAATTGCATATGCAATTCATAACAAATGTATATTTAATTCATATTAAATGCATAGTGCTTAATGCATATTTACTTCATACATAACGCATACTAAGGTCAACGGATCAACGCCGGAAGTCAACAGTCAACACCGAAAATCAACGGTCAACAATCAAATGGTCAAAATAATCTTTAAATAATTAAAATAAAAATATAAAGAGTTATTATTTAAATAAAGAGTTAAATCTTGATCACACATTTTGATTCTTATCTAATGGCTAGGATTAAGTCTCTCATACTTATTTAACATAAGTGTTTGATTGGAAGCATAAATTTGATAAATTTAACTAAAATCATATGTTGGTGTGAAAATCAAATTCGATAAATTTGATTGGATGTTCAAAAGTACACAGTAACAAATTAAAACCTCATCCACCTAAACCACACTTCAGAACTAATCCCATCTCGTAAGTGTTGCAGTTTTTTTTCTGTTCTCATAAAACAAATTATGCGTGAGTATAGTCTACCAAATTTGTGAGATTCACATGATTATTGGTTTATTACTAAACATTAAAAAGCACATCTAGAAAGACTAAATCTGTTGCTAAATGGAAAAAAATCTGGAAAAGATTCGTTCAACGGTAGTTGTTGTAGACAGGAGAGTACATGCAGCTCTCAGCAAACTTGACGAGATCCTTTGGGCGGGGGAGACGAGATGCAAGACCTGGAAGGGCATAAACGTCATTTCAGCTCAATACTTTCCTGTAGTGCACCATATATAAGATTAAGGAAGATAAGGACAATAGTAGGCACTCACCAAGTTCATATGATTTTGCAGCTACATTAGCAGCAATGTGGGCTGAGATTTTTCTGATATTGGTGAACGGAGGGTAAATCAGTCCTTTCTCATAGTTCTCCTCTGTTACTTGAGCGGCCAATGCTTCAGCTGTATTTAAGACGAAAACAAATGTCAGTAATTTTTCTTGATTGAAATCATAAATTACAAACTACAGCATTTGCTGCTTTTGTTTGTTTTTTCGTTTTCTTTTTCTTTTTCNATAAAGTTATAAAACCAAATTCAACACATAGTTAATTAGATGTTTTTTTTTAAGAAAAAATAACAAACCTGGCCGGGCACGAATGTTTTTCCATTGTACTCAACAGGGTCAAATGGACTGCCGCTAGCATAGATTGCACGTCCCTGCAAAAGATGTGAATTATTATACAAGAGAATGTAAACTTAAAATACATTCCAGGAATTTATGGTAGTTCAGACAAGATAAAACAATTTAACAGCCATATGGTTTAATTTTTTTTTACCTCAGTCCATGTGTAAGCTTCTTCTGCAGTGCACTCTGACTGCGAAGTCGGGTTTGATAAAGCAAGGATGACCGGTTTCTGGATAACGAGAGGGCAGAGTTAAAAACAAAATTATTTTATTTTTGAGAAATTGGAAAAAAAATAAACTTGAGGTTTGACTTCCAGAAATAATACCAAAGACTATATATTCTTTGAGGTTTTTATTATTTCATAAAATACCCCTCTATAAAGAGCAGAGTTAGGAAAGTAGAAACAAATGTAAGGGGATTTGAGCAATTTTGAAACAAAAACACGGGATTTCTTGAAAATACTCGTTTTATTTATAAAATGTGAGAGAAGATAGAACCTCATTTAAGGAAGCCATGGTCTCAACAACTTCTTTTGTAAACGTCTTCCCCACACCTGAAGTCCCTATTAGAACTGTAGGCTTTATAGCCTGAAATTTTGAGACAAAATTGTCATCAGTACATTTGTCATCCTGAGATCAAGTATTAAGAACATCAATCTATGATTTTTTTCCAAAAAAAAAATTGAATATCCCACCTTTACTGCATCCAATAGTTCCTTGACTGGTTCATGTTCGTGGGCCCAAGGTAACTTGAAATGCTGAAGAGTTTCTTTACGAGAACTCACAATCAACCCCTATCATGTGGAATCACAAAGGTAAACCTATGGTCTTGAATGTATTTTTAAGAAACAAAATAATAATAATAATAATAACATAAAAAAGGCACCAATTCCAATGTAAACGAATCCATACCTTAGAGTCCACAAGCCAAATTTTCTTCCTCGTCTCTTCAACTGGAGTATTTGTCTACAAAACCAAAAGGAGCCTTAAGTTGGTGAGCAAAGTAAAAGCAAAAGCAAAAGCAAAAAAAAAAAAAAAAAAAAAAAAATTGGATGGCAAAACAAGTTGTTACCTTCTTAGATATTTCAAGAGCAATAAGTTCAGCTATACCAGTCCCAGCCTTGCGGAAGCCAAAAGAAATTCAGATCGGAAAAGAAGCTCAAAAAAGTTAAAAACAGATATATCGACGAAGTATGGAGCTGTTCGATTTTTTCCATCTTATAAATGACGGAGAAACTGCATGCAAATGATACCAAAACCAATCTTCGTCATCATATACTAAAAAAAAATTAACAATAATCATAATCATGCAATAGAAATAAAATCGCAACTCACAAAAAATCAGTTTCATGAGAAGTTCATGTGCTCTTTGTTCCTTTTGTGCAAACACTTGAATATTTTCCATGTCTTTAAGTATATACTATATAACAAGATTCTCAAATTATGTATTTATATCAATCTTCTTTCAGACAAGGATAATCAAGCTAACCTCTCCAGCACCCAGAAACAAGAAAGTATCATCTGATAACGTTCCTCCAACAAATTTCAAAGCCGAAACAATCCCAGCAAGAACAACGGAAGCTGTACCCTGAGATGCCAGGAATGAAATAAAATTTCATTTTTATCTGGAAAAATCAGTTTTTTTATTCTAGGAAGTCCTCGCGTGTTTAGAGTTTTACCTGGATGTCATCATTGAACACAAGATGAGTTGTGCGGTATTTTGCAAGTAGATCAAATGCATTGTGGTTTGCAAAGTCTTCAAACTGAGAAAAAAAAACATGAGTATTTCAGGTCAGATATTAGTCTTCAAAATGTTTGTATGTGGTAAAGAAAAGGAAAAAAAACGCCAAAAAGAGACAGTCACTCATTTTCTTAAAATATCATTGCAGAAAATCCCAAAATATGACATAAGCTACATACATACCTGTATCAAGACCTTCTCACCATAATTTTGTTTCACTGCAGCCATGAACTCTTCAAGAAGCTCAGCATATTCCTGTCCAGTTGCACGGTTTTGCCTCAAACCAATATAGAATTCATCATCCAGTAGCTTCTTATTATTTGTGCCGACATCAATTGTGATAGGCAAGCACTGTTACAGGTGCAATTTCAAGAATTATTGGCAATGAAATAACATTCTAGGCGAAAAATAAAAAGGTATGCCAAAAAAAAGAAAAAAAAAATAAATATTAAGGAATATAAAACGCGCATGCAAATAGATAGGCACATTTAAAAAATAAAAAGAAAAATTCTAGTTTGCTTACGGCTGAAGGACGAACTCCTCCAAGAGCTGTATACAGAGAGAGTTTTCCAACAGGAATTCCCATACCCTGGCACAACATAGAGTATTGGTGAGTATATTAATAATCAAACATGAAAATCTTATATGTCACACACTAATAAAGTAATAAAAAGCATTTGAAATTAGAGGAACAAATCATGTACCTGGCAGCCTAGATCACCCAGCCCTAAAATGCGCTCACCATCTGTTACAACAATAACCTGAATTGATTTTTCAGGCCAGTTTCTCAACACTTCAAGTATCCTTCCCCTGGATAAAATAATATGACACTAGTCATTAATTTCCGAACAAAAAAAAAAAGAAAAAAATGCAAGATCAAGTTTTGATTAGTCTAATGAATAAGTATTATAAGTGTCTTATACATGAAAGTCAAACTAAAAGACAATTCAGAATTTAAAATACACTCCCCTTTCAGATCTAATTAAATTAAGCAGATTAATAAAGTAGAAGCTAACATTCGGAAACATGGAAAACTATTATTCCATTCAAAAGCTCATGATCACCTTTTTCTTGTATCTTCCAAACTGCTTAGATATCACATAAGAGAAATATGCGGCCGTACTTTACATGAGAAAAATTAAAGAAATACAGAAAAATGCATACTTCTCTTTCAAGCCGATATAGAGTCCCTGAGGACGCCTGAAAATGCTACCATACTTTTGGCAGGCCTCACCAACAGTAGGAGTATAGACTACAGGAAGTAACTCCTCAACATTATCAATAAGCAGCTTGTAAAACAGCTTTTCATTTCTCTCCTGCATGATAGAAAAAAGAAAAAAAGAATAAATATAGAATCATGACAACTTACCGATTCATCTAATATCACCTGACTATTCAGTAAAGGATGAGAAAAAAATCCCATCATAGATACTATCTGAATTCTTGAACAAATTTCCCATTTTTTCTTGATTTTCTTTTCTGGAAAGTTTACCTGGAGATCCATCATTGCCATGTATCTTTGTAACGGCACCGTATATTGACGAAGAGTGTGCATCAACTTCTTCTCCTGTCGGCCAATATAGAAAAATGATAAGAAGCGTTCATGAAGACTTTAGTGTATAAAAAGTTTAAATAAGTGCAAGGACAATCAAGTAACCTGAAGCTCTTGAGAAAGAACTACTGGAGGTAGAAGGCCCGTCAAGTAATGAGCATCTCTTTCTTTGTCAGTGAAAGCAAGGCCTTTGTTGTGGTGTGGATCACGCAACAAAGTATACCCACTGGAAATTAAATAAAAAAAAAGGTCAAAATCTAATGGGATCATGTTACTTGAGTACTATTTATTTATTTATTTATTTTTTGCAGATAAGTTTAGAATAACTGGTGTAAACTGAACATAAAAATATTATTTGTGCTCCAAACAATAATCTGTATCGCCAGTTCACAACAGAGAAGACAATTAAAATCAGTATCACCAGAATACTTAGTCACTGTGCCTTGGATCATAAAGCTATAGCTTGTAACCAGGTTAGCAAAGAAGGGTAAACACAGCACAGTTAGCAATTATGATATGAAATATTCACTCGCGAAACTGTTCCATCACATTTGAGGAAAAAAAAAACAGGCTACCAAATCATTACATTCGACAGAAATGAAATGATGGAATCTAACACCATCGGTTAGATCAAAAAAAAATTGTATAAAATTACTAAGATCAAGATCAACGAAAATGCTAAATCAGAAATATTGAATACTGAATCATGCGAAAAAGATTCAGAGTGATTGTGTCCAAAGTTTGAGAAAGCTATTAAACAATTCAGATCAACATCAATATATAAAATGGTGCATGTAAAATAATCCCTGATTCAGACACAACACTGTATATTATCGTTCTATCGAATATATAACCTAAACAGAACCGAGAACATCATTCCCACACAAATCAAACCATTCAATATACATCAATATCATATACTTTGATATTACACCACATCAACATCAAGAATACGAGAAAATCCTCAGTAAATGAATATTATATATTTTTTATGCCCTTGCGAGATATGAGATGTGGTTCAAAGAGGAGAATTATTTTGTTACCTTGCAACAGAAACAGTCCATGGAGTGACAGGCTGATTCTCAGAGGCTCTATCCTCACCATAAACGTCCTGAACACCACCACCAACTCCGCATTTATCCTCTAAATCAAGAACTGAGTCACCATTCTCATTCGGTGCACTACCCATCGCTATTGATCTCTCTATAACCCCTCTTTTTTGCAACTCCCAAAACCCACGTGCTTGTCTCTGTCAATGAAACAGACTGAAAAAAACCATAAACAAAAAGAAACAAAATAGGGAGAGAGAATAAAAACAGCCCACGAAACAAAAAAATTCAGAAAATACGAAAAGACAATCTTTCCGTTATCTTGGCTTCTGATTTTAATGCGGTTCAAGAAACGGACAATGCCCACCTTTTTATAGCCAAGAAAAAGAACAATCTTTATTAATTATTAAAAAGAAAAAAGAAACAAAATAAAACCTTTGACGAAGAATGATATATTATTATTATCTTGGTTTTTCAACAATGTCGGATGTTTTTCAAAGGCGTGCGCAGAATTGAAAATGTTTATCGAGAAACCGCAACAAGATTAGGAGAAACATGAACAAAATTAGGTTGAATGAATGTAATTACCCGAAAATTGGACCTTTTGAATGGGAACATAATGAAAGTGGAGCGAATAAAGGAAATTTATTTATAACTCCGCGTGCGTAGAGAAAGAGAGAGTGTGTATCCGCGTTTTGAGCAGAGAGAGACGGTGTTTGGTGGGTGGGTAGTTAGAGATTACCAAATGTGGAGTTTCAAACTTGGAGTTGCCGTTTCTTTACAGGCACCTTCTACTCTCCCTCTCTCTCGTGTCTTTGTATTTTCAGTTGCTGGTGTGTGTGTTCCCTGTTTTCTTTTATCCTTTTGTTTTATTTTTCATCTTTTCTCCCACGTTTTTTACTCTTTCTTAGTACCTTATTATTTTCGAATAAATAATAGGCCCAACCCAACTATGATAAATTTATATTGCATAAATGATAAAATATATACAATTTATAAAATAAATAAATAAATATATATATATATATATATATATATTTTCATTTGGACTCACTATCAGCATTGATATAACTAAGGGTTGAGCATTGGACTCGAAATAATTTTGAACCGTTCCGAAAATCGAACCGAAATCACTCCGAATCGAAAAATAATCGTTGACCATTTGACTTCCTCCAAACTGAACCTAACCGAAAACATATTTGGTACGGTTCTGGAGATTTCATAAATATCCGTACCGAGAACCGAACCAAACCGTCTCATATCTTACTGAACCGAAATTAAGAATCGAATTTACAACATTAGATGTGTGTTATTAATATATTTTATGTCAACTTTGATCTTATATAATTTAAGAATTTTGTTGAAGATCGTGTGTGTGCGTATGATATATTGAACTGTTTGTGTGTTTGTGTAATCGCAGTTATAACTGCATTTCTCTTTTTCCATTTTCTTTTTCTTTTCTGTAAATAAGAACAACGTCGTTCTTTGTGTTGTCACACTTACCTATAGACGACGTCGTTTTGATTGTGCATGGGATATAAATGCAGATTGCATGTACGGATTAAACTCAGTCGTGTGAAATGAAAAATATCTTTCCCTTAGCTCGTTTTATCACATGGTACCAGAGCGCGTGACGATCCTGTAGAGCTCCGAATCAATCTTCAATGGCGGGCAATCGGAATACGGAGGCGTGGCCGCTACTGAATGTGCGAGCTGCTGGTAGCTCAGAACAGCGTGAAGACAATCCTCTTTTCTTATCGGGATTCGATAATCCAGGTATGCAATTGGTGACGCAACATCTCAATGGACCGAATTTCATGGCTTGGAAGCGATCTATGATGATCGCACTAGGTGCGAAAATGAAATTAGGTTTTATTAATGGAAGTATTGAAATGCCTGAGATAAATGATGCGAACTATGAAAAATGGCGAAAAGTGGATTGGATGGTTACTTCATGGATTTTGAGCTCATTATCTAAGAAAGTTGTTGATTCCTTCATGTACACTGAAACGGCCAAGGAACTTTGGGATGAGATATGCCAGAGGTTCGGTGAGAGCAATGGCCCACTGATATATCAGTTGCAAAGGGACATTGCCAATCTGAAACAAGGAAGTGTTACTGTTATGGTTTATTTCAATAAATTGAAGAGAATGTGGGATGAATTAGGGCATTTAGTTCCACAGTTAACCTGCAAATGCGAGATTGGGAAGGCAAATGCAGAACAAAATATGCAGACAAAGATGATGCAATTCCTTATGGGACTCAATGAGAGCTTTGATCATGTCAAAAACCAAATGTTGTTAATGGATCCTCTGCCAACAGTGAACAAGGCATATTCAATGGTTCTATCTGCAGAAAGTACTCAACCTCTGGAGAACTCAACACAAGCATGGCTATGGCAGTGAGATATAACAACCCTAGCAGAGAGCACAATGTGAGACCACAATTTACAAACCAGAGAAGAGGAAGAGATGGACAAAGGCTCTCAAGAGAAGAAAAGTCTAAGCTCATTTGTGAGCACTGTGGGAAAAATGGTCATGAGAAAATACATGCTTCAAATTGCATGGATATCCAGAGTGGTTTAAGGAACCAAGGGACAAAAGACCAAGAGGAGCAATGAATCTAGTTCAGACAGAAGGAAACCTCAATCCTCAAGGAAATGGAAACAATTTGGGAACAGATATATCAGCATTAGCACATGAAGTAGCAAAGTTGCTGGGAAAGTTTCCAACTGAACCAGAGAAAGGAAAACCATACAAAAAGGAAGAGCATAATGTCAATTTTGCAAGTAATGAGGGAAGGGAAAAAGGCATTATGCATTGTCTATGTTTGATAAGATGAACAGTAATGCATGGGTGATAAACACAAGAGCAAGCATGCATATGTATGTCAATAGTGGATTAATGAAGGATATGACAGTTTTAAAGACACCTATTATTGTGTACCTTCCCGATGGAACCAACAAAATTGTGACACATGTTGGAAGGGTGATAATCTCAGAGGATCTTACACTGCATGAAGTGCTGTTTGTGCCATCTTTCAAGTACAATCTACTGTCAGTTACACAAGTGTGTATAATTTGAAGTGCAGCTTTACATCTAAAGGCTATCATTTTCAGAACCAAGACACTGGTAAAACAGTAGGGACAGGAGAGCTTAAAGAAAGACTGTACATCTTGAACTATGGGACAATGGGAGTGGCAGTAAGACTAAGCTGTAAAATCACACTGCAATAATGGCATAGAAATCTTGGACATGCCTCATTTGGAGTGCTAAAACAGTTACCTTTCCTCAAAGGGCAGTGTGATGAGAAAGGAGAAAGGGAATTAAAGCAATGTGATATTTGTTTCAAGGCCAAGCAGCATAGACTACCTTTTCCTACAAGTAGCATCAAGACTAAGGAGTGTTTTGATTTGATACACATAGACATTTGGGGTCCATGCAGAGAAGATTCCATAACCAACACACCTTATTTTCTAACAATAGTGGATGACTTCAGCAGAAGTGTGTGGATATGTCTCATGGGAAGTAAAGGAGAAACTGCAAGTTTGATCACGAATTTCATATCTCTAATTCAAACACAGTTTTCCAAGAAGGTCAAACAAGTGAGAAGTGGTAATGGGAAGGAATTCCTTGGGAAGGACTACCAAAGGCTGTTTGAAGATCATGGCATTGTACACCAAAAGACATGTGTTTATACACCACAACAAAATGGTGTAGTTGAGAGAAAACATAAACAAATTCTCGAGATAGCAAGGGGGCTGATGTTTCAATCACATGTGGATATGCACTATTGGCCTATGCAGTGCTGACAGCAGCATATAATAAACAGACTTCCTAGTGTCACTTTGCATGGAGAAACTCCATTTGAAAGGGTGTATGGTGAGTCACCACAATATCAGAGGCTTAAACCCTTTGGATGCTTAGCCTATGCAGTCAACACTAGTCCAAGTAAAGGGAAGTTTGATCAGAGATCACACAAATGTGTGCTGCTTGGGTATGCAAGAGCATGTAAAGGGTATATTCTATGTGACATTGAGAGTGGAAACAGATTTGTGTCTAGAGATGCAAGTCTTGGCAGATGTATTTCCCTATCAAGAGACAAAGACTAAGGATAATTTACAAACTCCACTGCCATTGATTAATGATGTGGCAGACACAAGTGAAGATGTAGAAGAAGAGATAGAAGTTCAACAAGATGTACAAGATAATGGTAAAAGACAGAGAAGGAGACCTGCATGCATGAAGGATTATATTTGTCTCACTACCACAGCAGAGGGTGATCAAGAAGACACAACCTTCATGACAAACATAACAACACAATATGAACCAACTCACTACAATCAAGCAAAGGGAGATGATGTATGGGTTACTGCAATGAATCAGGAACTAAAAGCTTTGGAGGACAATCACACTTGGGAACTAGCATATCTACCTCCTGGAAAGAAAGCAATTGGATCCAAATGGGTGTATAAAATCAAAAGGAAAGCAGATGGTAGTGTGAACACGTACAAAGCTAGATTGGTGGCAAAGGGTTTTACACAAGTTGCAGGAGTGGATTACTTTGATGTGTTTTCGCCAGTGGCCAAGCTAGTTACTGTTAGAGTTTTCATGGCAATAACTGCAATAAAGGGCTGGGATATTTGGCAACTTGATGTCAACAATGCCTTCCTCCATGGCACTTTGTCTGAGGAAGTATACATGCATATTCCTCAAGGATACAATAAAGGGAAACATGGCCAGGTATGTAGGTTGATAAAAAGCTTATATGGGTTGAAACAGGCATCAAGAGAATGGAACTGTGAATTGTCCAAAAGGCTATTAGATTTTGGTTTGGTGCAGTCTTCACAAGATCATTGCCTGTTCACACAACATAAATAAGGTCAGTTTCTTGCTATGTTGGTATATGTATATGATGTTTTGGTCATGGGGTCTGGTCTTGCTCAAATTAATGCACTGAAGGGCTATTTGCATGATTTATTCACAATTAAGGACTTTGGAATAGCTAAGTATTTTTTGGGAGTTGAAATTTCAAGAAATGCTAATGGCATACATTTATCTCAAAGAAAGTATATTCATGATTTGCTAACTGACCTTGGACTGGAAAATTGCAAAGCAGCTAGTACACCCTTACCACCGGGCCTTAGATTAACAGGCTATGATGGACATCCTCTTGCTGAACCAGATAAATATAGACGATTGATAGGGAGACTTCTATACTTGAACATGTCAAGACCAGATGTCAGTTATGCTGTCAATCAACTTAGTCAGTTTGTGAACAACTCTTTTACTGAACATTGGGAAGCAGCCATTGCAGTACTTAAATATCTCAAGGGCACTCAATCACTTGGGCTGTTTTTTAGCTCTCAATCAGATACTACATTGGTTGCTTTATGTGATGCAGATTGGGCTACTTGTAAGGACACTCACAAATCTATTACAGGCTATTGTGTATTTTTTGGTGATAGTCTTATTTCCTGGAAGAGCAAGAAACAAGTTACAGTGGCACGGTCCTCAGCTGAGGCAGAATATCGAGCCATGGTAACAACTGTGTGTGAATTACAGTGGATCTCTGCCTTGGTTAAGGAGTTTCAGGTTCATCCCTCTTTGCCTATTACCTTGTGGTGTGACAATAATGCAGCCATGCACATCACGGCTAACCATGTTTTCCACGAGCAGACCAAACACTTGGAGATAGATTGTCACATTGTTCGAGATAAATACAAAGATGGCTTCATCAAACCAGCTTATGTTCATTCCTCTGCCCAACTTGCAGATTTCTTCACAAAGCTCTTATCTGTTGCTGTTTTCAATCGACT